TTCGTATAGTTAATATAAACAAGGGGAATAACAGGTAGGGAAAGGAGGTAAAAAAGGGGTTGAGGGAAGGGAGGGAGATAGGGAGGGGAATACCACCATACCAGTCTAGTGCAGAGAGTTCAGAAAGTTCAAGTTTCATACATATAAGTCATCAACATATTACAGAACAGTTCGGGTTTCGTAGCCATCTAGCCCATTGGACGTGGAACTTATGGTATGAAAAGTTATTAAGGGTCGATCTTCTCTCCATATCACATTGGACGTTGAGGTCCACCACCAGCGAGGTAATAGATGGAGTTTTAGTAGAGTTCCACAATCTATTGAGATTGATTTTAGCTGCTGCTAGTGTGTGAATGATAACAGTGCGGGAATCATTTGGGAACTGATCAATTCCTATGTGAAGTAATGCAAGGGCAGGGTCGGGAGCTACTGAAGAATCAGTTTGTGTTGAGATCAAGTGAAACACACTATTCCAGTAAGATCTGATGGATTTGCACGTCCAAAGTATATGGAGAGTTGATCCTATGTCTCCGCACTGTCTCCAACACGCCGAGGAGTGCTGAGGATAGAATAGGGAGAGCTTAACTGGTGTGAAGTACCATTGGTGCAAGATTTTTATATATGATTCCCAGTGGGAGCTACACCGGGAAGCTTTATAGGTAATGGTAAAGGATTTTTCCCATGTGTGTGACGGAATATGTTGAGAGAAAAGTTTCTCCCAGTTGATTAGAGAAGTTGTTAATAGAGAGAATTGAGAGTTGGTAAAATACGTGTAAAAAGTAGAAATCCCTTTCCGTGGGTATTGTGTTTTATTGAAAAAATTGTACGCTACGGTAGGGATGTTCACCATAAGTGGGAGCTTTGTTTTTTGTAGGGAGTGTGCAATTCTCAAGTACGTAAAGTGTTCCGTATCAGGAAGATTCAATTTCCTTTGTAGAGTGGAGAAAGAATCTAAGGTGTCATCTGTATATAAGTGCTGTAAGTGGGTGATTCCTCGTTGTTCCCACTGTAATAGGTTTAAAAAGGGAATTATGATTCGGAGAGTGGCAATAGGGGTAGGTAGTGATGTGGTTTCATTCGAAGTGCAACTTACAAGATCATACCATGCCTGTAAAGATGCCCGAATACAAGGATGATTAAATATGGTAGTGGTCTGGAGCATTCGCGGTAGAAATAGAATATCTCGAGAAGAGATCGGGGTGTGCGGGATGGTTTCCATAGTTGACCATGTTTTCTCCCGATTAGGGTGCCACCAGAAATAAATCTGGTCTAGCAGGGCTGCAGTATAGTATGACTTCAAATGCGGGAGACCTGCACCTCCTCTGGACGTTGGGCGTATTATTATTATTAGTATTATTATACAGTATTTATAAAGCGCCGATAGTTCGCTCAGCGCTGTACATTACAGAGGGGGACAGAACATGTGACAGGACAATACCAATACAATGCAAAACATGAGGGGATTGAGGGCCCTGCTCCTTGGAGCTTACAATCTAGGAGGGAGGGGATGGTGGCACAGGAGGAGATAGCTGTGGGGGATGGAGTGGTAGGAAGAGTGGAGGAGGTCGGCAAGTTAGCAGGGGGTGGGGTAGGCTTCCCTGAAGAGATGGGTTTTCAGGGTGTGCCTAAAGGAGAGGAGAGTAGGTGACAATCTGATGGGTTGGGGCAGGGAGTTCCAGAGGATGGGTGACACCCTGGAGAAGTCCTGGAGGCGGGCATGGGAGGAGGAGACCAGGGAACTAGAGAGAAGGAGGTCTTGTGATGAGCAGAGTGTGTGTGTTGGGTGGTACTTGGATATTAGGTCAGTGATGTAGTTCGGGGCAGTATGGTGGACGGCTTTGTACGTCAGTGTTAGGATTTTGAATTTGATCCGTTGCGAAATCGGAAGCCAGTGGAGGGATTGGCAGAGAGGGGTGGAGGACACTGAGTGGAGCCCAGAGGAGGGATTGGCAGAGGGGGGTGGAGGACACTGAGTGGAGGCCAGTGGAGGGATTGGCAGAGGGGGGTGGCGGAGATGGAGCGGTTGGAAAGGTGAATGAGTCTGGCAGCCGTATTCAGGATGGATGAAGTGGGGATAGCCAGCGGCGAGGCAGGCTAGTGAGGAGGGAGTTGCAGTAGTCGAGTCGTGATATGATGAGGGAGTGGATGAGCTGTTTAGTGGTTTCTGGGGTTAGGAACGTGCGGATTTTGGCGATGTTGCGGAGGTGGAGTCGGCACGAGTTTGTTAAAGATTGGACTTGGGGCTGGAAGGATAGGTTGGAGTCCAGAATGACACCAAGTACTCTGGCCTGCGGGGCAGGTTTGATGGTGGCGTTGTTGGATGTGATGGAGAAGTCAATGGGGGGTGGTGTCTGGGCTGGGGGGAAGACAAGAAACTCGGTTTTTGGAGAGGATTAAGAGATTTGTTGTATATCTTGGTTGTTTTGAGTTCCAGAGGAACTTGGCAAATATCGCTTGTAGTTTAGTAAAAAAGGTATTGGGGATAGGGATAGTGCGGAATTTATATAGAATTTTGGGAAGTATATACATTTTTAAGGTTGCTATCCTGCCCAATTTTGACAGTGTGGAAGTGCACAAGTTAGTAAGGTCTTGTGGAATAGATTCAAGGAGAAGTTTATGATTTGACATATATAAGCTATCTATTGAGGGGATGAGTTTTATCGCCAAATAAGGAATGCTATGCTGTTCCCAAGGAAAGGTCAACCGTTTAGTTAACGTTTGTTGGATTTGGGTTGGGATATGGAGACCTAGGATCGAGGATTTAGATTCGTTGAGTTTATAGTAAGAGACTTCCGAGTATGATTGAAGATGAGAGCGAATTGCAAGAAGCGATTTGTTATTATTAATATAATATCGTCAGCAAAGAGACTAATTTTGTGTTCTCTACCAAGGTGAGTAATTCCTATGAAAGACGGATCAGCTCTGAATTTTGCAGCTAAAGGTTCAATGAGTGGGATGAATATTATAGGAGGCAATGGACAACCTTGTCTCGTCATTGGAGATGCAAAAGGGTTGCGAAAGTGTATCGTCGGTTAACACTCTGGCTGATGGGTTAGAGTATAGCGAGAGGATTGCAGAAAGCATCCAGTCGGTAATTCCAAACTTTTGAAGCGTTGATTTCATGAATTGCCAGTGAATACGGTCGAAAGCTTTTTCTGCGTCTAGGGACAAAAATATGGAGGGTTGTTTAGTGTGGTCTATTTTGTGGAGGAGGCATAGGAGTCTTCTGGTGGCGTCAGGTGCCTGGTGACCTGGGATGAATCCTACTTGGTCTGGGTGGATTAACATAGGCAGGAGGGGTAGCAGCCTTTGAGCTATTATTTTAGTGTAAAGTTTGATGTCCGTGTTTACTAGTGAGATTGGTCTATAGTTCTGAGTTAATTGGGGAGTTTTTGCCTGGTTTTGGGATGGTCGTGATTATGGATTGTAACATTTATTTCGGAAATGTACCCGCGGAGGCCCCATGGTTAAAAAGAGTAGAGAGATACGGAGCCAGTGTCGGGGCAAAGGTTCTATAAAATGCGTTAGTAAAGCCATCAGTACCCGGGGATTTATTGAGAGGCAATATTTGAATGTTTTTTTCTACTTCCAAAGGGGATATTGGGGTAGATATTGACTCGAGTTGCGCTGGTGTAAGATGAGGAAGATTCGTATTGTCTAAAAATTTTTGTGTGGTGGTGAAAGTTGGTTGAGATGTATGTGGATCATCTTTGATGTTATATAATGTCGTGTAGTAGTCCGCAAACGCATTGGCTATATCTTGCGGGTTCGTGAGGGGGGATTGTGTGGTGGGGTGTTGGATGGAAGAGATTTCAGCTTTAAGGCGTTTTTGTTTAATTGTTTTGGTTAAGAGTGAGTTCGCTTTATTGGCGAGAGTTGAATCGTGCTTTTGTTTTTTGTAAGTTAAGGTCATAGTTGTGCAGTAGGAGTATACGGAGTTTGTTCCTATCAGAGGTGAGGGATGCGGTTGTGGAGGGAGAGGGATTTTGTTTATTGGATTCTTCTTTAAGTTTTATAGATGTTAACCATTAGCTGCCCGGCCTATAGCCGTTTGGCGGCGGCAAAAATGCTTCACCTTTCCGGGTGCACGCCATTTGGCACATGCGCAGTTCACGCGGTTGCAGAGCCGCGCAGCGGCGCGATCTGTCACCGGCCATGTACCCCGGACACAGCCGATGACAGATCTGAGTACCGGCCCCCGTTGCCGGTACCATGTGACCTGCTGTGACCAATCACAGCAGGTCACATGACAGTTGTATACAATGGATGGCTTCATTTATGCCATCCATTGTATACTAGTGCCTAGCTGTGAATGGTCACAGCAGGTCACATGCACATGTCATGTGATTAGCTGTGGCCAAATCACAGCTAAGCACAAAAAAAAAACCTGAATGAATCGATTTCATTCAGGTAAATGCTTGCTTATAGCAAAGTAATTATTTGCAATAAGCAAATTGTGTAAAAAAAAAAAAAAAAAATACTGATCACTTCCCCAAAGTAGTACAATGTTACTATGGTAACATTGTACTACTTTGGTCATAGTAAAATCTGAAAAAAAATCTTAAAAAAAAAAAAATGTAATAAAAAATTTTAAAAAAAATAAATAAATAATAAATAAATAAATAAAATATATATATATATATTTTTTTTTTTTTCATACTGTCACCAGTCAGTGTCCCTGTACACCACCATGCCAGTTATATGATGACGCTGTACTGCACTGGTGACAGTATGTAAAAAAAAAATAGTGAAAATTATTTTTTTAATTTTCCGAAAAATTATGACAAAAAAATACAACTTCAAAAAACGCGCCATGCCTCTTATGAAATACGTCAGACTGTCTACTTTGCAAAAAGGGGTCATTTGGGGGATATCTGTACCATCCTGACATTTGGGGGATATCTGTACTGTCCTGACATTTGGGGGATATCTGTACCATCCTGACATTTGGGGGATTGTCCTGACATTTGGGGGATATCTGTACCATTTGGGGGGATATCTGTATTGTGCATTTGGGGGATATCTGTCCTGTTCTGACATTTGGGGGATATCTGTACTGTTCTGACATTTGGGGGGATATCTGTACTGTTCTGACATTTGGGGGATATCTGTACTGTGCTGACATTTGGGGGATATCTGTACTGTCCTGACATTTGGGGGGGATATCTGTACTGTTCTGACATTTGGGGGATATCTGTACTGTCCTGACATTTGGGGGATATCTGTACCGTCCTGACATTTGGGGGGGATCTGTACTGTTCTGACATTTGGGGGATATCTGTACTGTGCTGACATGGGGGATACTGTACTGTTTGGGGGGGATATCTGTACTGTGCTGACATTTGGGGGATATCTGTACTGTCCTGACATTTGGGGGATATCTGTACTGTTCTGACATTTGGGGGATATCTGTACTGTCCTGACATTTGGGGGATATCTGTACTGTTCTGACATTTGGGGGATATCTGTACTGTGCTGACATTTGGGGGGGGATCTGTACTGTTCTGACATTTGGGGGATATCTGTACTGTGCTGACATTTGGGGGATATCTGTACTGTCCTGACATTTGGGGGATATCTATACTGTTCTGTACTGGGGGATATCTGTACCGTCCTGACATTTGGGGGATATCTGTACTGTTCTGACATTTGGGGGATATCTGTATTGTTCTGACATTCTTGGACCTCAAGAAATTAGATTGGCTGTCAGTACTTCAGGATTGATCAATATTCAGATCTATACCATAGTTTGTGAACTCTATAACTTTCCTACAAACTAAAAAATACATCCTAATTTGGGTTATTTTCACCAAAGACATGTAGCAGAATACATCTCGGACTAAATTTATGAAGAACAATTATTTATTTACAAACTTTTATAACAGAAACAAAGAATGTGTTTTTTTTCAAAATTTTCGGTCTTTTTTTGTTAATTTAGCAAAAAATAAAAAAAACCCAGTGGTGATTAAATACCACAAAAAGAAAGCTCTGGTTGTGTGAAGAAAATGATAAAATTTTAGTTTGGGTACAATGTTGTATGACTGCGCAATTGTCATTCAAAGTGTGAGAGCGCTGAAACCTGAAAACTGGCCTGGGCAGGAAGGGGTAAAATTGCCCGGTATTGAAATGGTTAAGAGTTGGTCAATTTGCTGCGATCGGATTTTGTTTATGCGTGAGTTAAGTTGGATAAGAATACCTCTCATATAGGCTTTGTAAGTGGTCCACAGTGTGGATATGGATATATCGGGTGTGTCATTGCATTCAAAAAATACCTTATGGGCATCTAACAGGTACTTCTGGTTATCAGGGCTTTTCAAAATTGTTGAGTTCAGTCTCCAGATGCGCGGGATTGAGGAGTGTCGATTGCCATCCAGGGTTATGTTGATTGGAGCGTGGTCCGACCAGGTTATACTGCCGATAGTGGACGAGGTGCCATGTTGTAGGGTCCATTTGTCTGTAATAAAAAAGTCAATTCTGGAGTAGAACAGGGGGGAGGGGAAAAATATGTGTAGTCTCTTTCCGTGCCATGTTGACATCACCAAATATCGTAAAGATCATGGGTATGCAGAAAGCTGTTGAAGCTCTGGTTCGAGGATCGTTTGGTCGAGGAAGAGTCCAGAGATGGATTTCCAATGATGTTGAAGTCACCTCCAATGATTATTATTATTATTATTACATCGATTTTATATAGCGCCAAAGGGTTTGCTCAGCGCTGTACAATAGGGGGGGGACAATACATGGCACAGTACAACAATAACAAACAACGTACGAGGGGTAAGAGGGCCCTACTCTTTCGAGCTTACAATCTAGGAGGGAGGGGGTAATGGTACAGTAGGAAGTGGCTGAGGGGAATGAGGGGTGGGAGGAAAGAGGGAGAATGGCCGTTAGGTGAGGGTGGGGTAGGCTTCCCTGAAGAGATGGGTTTTGAGGGAGCGCCTGAATGTGAGGAAGGAAGGCGACAGTCTGATGGATTGGGGCAGTGAGTTCCAGAGGATGGGGGAGGACCCGGAGAAGTCTTGCAGTCGTGCATGGGAGGAGGAGACCAGGGAGCAGGATAGAAGGATGTCCAGTGAGGAGCGAAGGATACGGGTAGGGCGGTACTTGGGGATCAGGTTGGTGAGGCAGTGTTGTGAATGGCTTTGAAGGTCAGGGTTAGAAGTTTAAATTTGATGCGTTGGGCAATCGGGAGCCAGTGGAGGGAGAGGCAGAGGGGGGTGGCAGAGGTGGAGTGGGTGGTGAGGTGGATGAGTCTAGCCGCTGAGTTCAGGATGGTCTGGAGCGGGGAAGCCTGCACTGGGGTAGGCCGGTGAGGAGGGAGTTGCAGTAGTCAAGGCGTGAGATGATGAGTCTACCTCGTCTTTGAGAAGAGACAGCGGAGTAGAGTTTCTTGTAAAATCTCATTTGCTTGGTGTTAGGGCCATAAACGTTGACCAGAGTATATGGAATACTGTTGATTGTGCAGACTAGGATATGGAACCGACCTTGAGGGTCCGCTAACTCCGAGATGAGCTGGAATTGTGCAGAATCTTTGATAGCTGTAATGATGCCATTTTTTTTTTTTTTTTTTTTTCGGATTGTTAGCCATATAGATGTGACGAAATCCATGTAAGGTCAATTTGGGGGATTTGGCAGATGCAAAATGTGTCTCTTGTAGAAAGAGAACGTCGGCGTGGAGCGTGCGGGTCTCTTTTTGAAGCATTGATCTCTTAAATGGAGAGTTCAGGCCGCGGACATTGAGAGACGTGATATTAATCATCCTGAGAATTATAGAGTCGATTAATGAGGTCGGGTAGTCATTTCTTGAGAATGTGGAAGAAGTTGGAGATAAGCGGTCCTGAGCATGATAATTCGAGAAAGATGGCAAGGTAGTGACGTCTTGAGTGAAGCTTTAGAGGTTGTGTTCCGAAACAACAAACATGTTGCACTATACAAGTTGCTTCAGACGTGCGACTGGTGGTATGGGAAGGTAAGAGGGTAAGGAGGGGTAAAAAAAACTTGTGCAAAACACAAGAAACATGAGTAGCAATGATTGCCACTGCAAAACATGGGGGTGCGATTTGGCGTTGACCATTATAGAAGTCATGCCGAACTTGCACTTGGATCAACAATATACTTGAGGGAGGCCGTTCGCCAGTATTGTGTTTGTCAGGTTACAGTGTCCAAGGAGGTACAGTTGGAGTTCTTGAGGATGTACCGAGACGGGATCATTCTGCTTCCATTTGTTGGCTGTTATGAAAGGCGGATCGTGGGGGTTCCACGGGTATTATGTTCCAGGATTTTAGCAAGTCGATGCCAGCCTCCAGATTTTTAACAGTGTATTTTCTGCCATATTGCTTAACCATCAGTTTTGTAGGGAAGCCCCATTGGTAACTTATACATGGTTACGGAGGGCTTTAGTGACAGTCACCAGCTTTCTACGGTTAGAGAGCGTAGCTTTTGACAGATCTGCGTAAAACCTGATGTTTGCATGAGAAGGCGGGAGTGGTGGGGGATTTCTGGCTGCAGACATAGTTTTTTCTTTTACGTGGAAAAAGTATATGCGGGCCAATACATCTCTTGGGATAGAAGCTGAGAGAAAGGATGGTTTGGATATCCGATGCGCTCGATCTATGGCTAGCTCTAAATCTGAGATAGACGGGAGCAGGTGTTTCATATACAGTTGCAAGAAAAAGTATGTGAACCCCTTGGGATTACGTGGAGTTTTGCATGAATTGGGCATAAAATGTGCTCTGAACATCATCTAAGTCACAACAATAGAAGAACACAGTCTGCTGAACATAATACTACACAAACATTAGATGTTGCCGTGGTTTCATTGCACATAACATGTAAACATTCACAGTGCAGGGAGGAAAAAGTATGTGAACCTTTGGACTTAATAACTGGCTGACCCTCCTTTGGCAGCAATAACCTCAACCAAACGTTTCCTGTAGTTGCAGATCAGACCTGCACAACGATCTGGAGTCATTTTGGACACTCCTCTTCACAAAACTGTTTCAGTGTAGCAATATTCTTGGGATGTCTGGTGTGAATCGCTCTCTTAAGGTCATGCCACAGCATTTCAATGGGGTTGAGGTCAGGACTCTGACTGGGCCACTCCAGAAGGCGTATTCTGTGCTGTTGCAGCCATTGTTTTGTTGAATTACTTGTATGCTTTGGGTCATTGTCCTGTTGCATCACCCATCCTCTGCGGAGCTTCAGTTGGCGGACAGATGGTCGTACGTTTTCCTGCAAAATGTCTTGATAAACTCTGGAATACATTTTCCCATCAATGACAACAATCCGTCCAGGCCCTGAGGCAGCAAAGCAGCCCCAAACCATGATGCTCCCTCCGCCATGTTTCACAGTGGGGATGAGGTTTTGAATGTTGGTGTGCTGGGCCTTTTTTTCTCCACACATAGTGTTGTGTGTTCTTCCCAAACAACTCAATCTTGGTGTCATCTGTCCACAGTATATTTTGCCAGTAGTGCTGTGGAACATCCGGGTGCTCTTTTGCAAACTTCAAACGTGCTGCAATCTTCTTTTTGGACAGCAATGGCTTCCTCCGTGGTGTCCTCCCATGTACTCCATTCTTGTTTATGTTTTCCTTATTGTAGATGTGTCAACAAAAATGTTAGCATGTTCCAGAGATTTCTGTAGGTCTTTAGCTGACACTCTGGGATTCTTCTTTACCTCATGCAGCATTCTGCGCTGTGCTCTTGCAGTCATTTTTACAGGACGACCACGCCTAGGGAGAGTAGCAACAGTGCTAAACTTTCTCCATTTGTAGACAGTCTGTCTTACCGTGGACACATGAACATCAAGGCTCAAGGAGATACTTTTGTAACCCTTTCGAGCTTCATGCAAGTCAACAATTCTGAGAGCTTCTGAGAGCTCTTTTCTGCGAGGCATGGTTCACATCAGACAGTGCTTCTTGAAACCAGTAAACCCAAAACAGGTGTGTGTTTTTTAAGGGCAGGACAGCTGTCAGCAACACATCCAATATCATCACACTGATTGGAGTCAAGGTTGGCTCACTCCTGGCTCCAATTAGCTCTGGGAGAAGTCATTAAGCTAGGGCCTCACATACTTTTTCCTCCCTGCGCTGTGAATGTTTACATGTTATGTGCAATTAAACCATGGCAACATCTAATGTTTGTGTAGTATTATGTTCAGCAGACTGTGTTCTTCTATTGTTGTGACTTAGATGACGTTCAGAGCACATTTTATGCCCAATTCATGCAAAACTCCACGTAATCCCAAGGGGTTCACATACTTTTTCTTGCAAATGTATTGGTGGATGTATGAGGGTAGTGCGTCATTTGTGATATTCTCAGGTATCCCCCTCAGTTTATTATTGTTGCGTCTCGAGCGATCTTCCAGGTCTGCTAACTTTACATTTATTTGCTCAAGATCCGTAGTGTGGTCTGCATGTGCGTCAATTAGGTCATTATGTGCTGAGATCAAATCTCCCATTCTCGTTTCAACATGGCGCATTCTATGGTTTTGG